TTTAAGATTTGCATTTAGATAATTCCTTATCTTTCATCTCAGTGCAGCTTAAAGTTACAATACATTTTGTGACTACATCAGTCCTTTCAGTTTTGACACAAAAGTCAACTTCGACTCTCCCCTGAAGGGTACACATGGACACAAACACAAGCGCACACTGACATCAATCCCTGCTGTGTGAGATGCAAGACAAGCCATGGGATGCAGTCGCCATGTTGACTCAGCCCAGGAAATGAACAGACTGACTGCCATCTCTCAGACACACACAGTCATGTTCCTACTGGCAACGAGCTACAATATTTCCAAGAAAATTTCAAATCCCAGTAATTAACTTTAAATTTTGTCATTACACAATATTCCCATTACAGAACGTCCAAAACATAAATTGTAAATGTTTTCAAAACCTACTGTCTCAGTAGAGATTGAACAATAATCCACAAGAAGAAGCTCAGTAAGAGTCTATTTTCACACAAACTGAGCCCAGCTTCCATTACCTGCATATCGATCTGATTTCAAATTTAGCCCACTTGACAGTATATTGCATGAGCACTGAACTGGTTCTTATCTAAACAGTGCAGCAGCAAGAAGGTGGAAAATCAGTGGAAGATAAAAGGATCCTGCCCTGTGTAACTGAATGGACTATCGCTTGAAGCGTGTGTTTGCGTCTGCGTCATGCTCTCCATCAGAAAACAGGCTGTCAGGTCACGTCAGACCGGTGTGACATCCACAATGACGCTAGCATCCAGGGAGACTCTGCTATAAATGTGGAACATGTTTGTGTGTGTGTGTTTCTATCGAAGGACCTAAGTGGAGGCACAAATTCAAAATTCATTATATAAAAAAAAAATAGATGGATGCTTTCAAATGGGCTTTTGGTTTATTATTATCAAAGCTGACACCATTGGCAGTAAATAAACTAGTTCTAGTTATTGATTTATTCAGCCATGCATGCAGGTCACCCTTCGGCAAAACACCCCCAGTACTGTTTGCCATTCTGTTCAGCCTGCATCGATCTCACCCCATGTATGGCAAAAAATTCTCAAATATTTCATTGCAATACTGCTACAGAAGGAACAGAGGCTACTGTTTACTTATTCATAAGAGGTTCTCACAGCCCCTGACACAACCCCAAAGGAAGTTGTGTCTCTTTCTAGTCTGGGACCAGGGACTTTCAGGTATTATGCTGAGACGTCACACGAAATGCTGTAGTAACACTGTACTGCAACACCAAGTCACTTTAACAGTGATGACAATATAACTGTTGAACTTGGCTGTAACTTTCTGCATGGATCATGAAAACAATGCATTCCTCCGAAACAGTCACTGTGCCCATCTTCAATTATCACAGCAATGAGTGTAATGGACACACTGGTTCACCATGTGGATCTCACCCCTTGCATCTTCTTAACCGTGAAATAGACACGCATGCTTAAGTTGTATTACCAGTAGGGGGAGATAATGTAATTAAAGCCAACACTTGGCTAGTGACCAAGGAAGATATAAAGTACATTGCAGACTCCTTCTATGCCAGAAACAATGAAGCTTCTTGGCTAATATGTATTTACATGTAAATGTGTTCGGAATGTCTCTTTAACCATATTCATGTTGTCTTGAAATAAAATATCGCCCCCTGCTGGTACTGCAACTTAAACCAGCATGTCCAATAAACACTGCTGTGATATTTGGGTGTTCTATCAGAGTTCATCACTATTAAATAAATAAATATCAATTAAGCTCTTTTTCATTGATCTGAGATGGCAAAAGGAAAATCATTATACAGTATTATAAATTAAGAGTGGAATTCTGAATTTATAGCTAGTATTATTAGTATTTTGAGGCGAAAACCTAGAATTTTTGAGAAAAGACAATAAAATGGCATTAACATTAACATGATTAAAAACCTTTCATATAATCGAACTGCCCTGCAACAAATTGGCGACCTGTCCAGGAAGTATCCCACCTCTCACTCTGTGGTAGCTGGGATAGGCTCCAGCCCCCTGCAACCCTCAATTGGATAATTGGAAGAGGATGGATGTTATCAAATTAGAGGTCCTCAAATGTTTACTTCAATTCTGCATTGTCCTGATTCCTGGGTCCACACCTTTGCAATTTTGGATATAAAAATACAGTTTTCAGCTATATAAACGCCCTACATTCAGAAAATACAGCAAAATATATACAACACAAAATCTACTCCAATACACCTTCGATAATAATAAAACAGTACTGTTGGTTATAACAGTTTTTACTCTCTAAATCGCTCCATTACTGTTGTTCTATAAAACAGATGGGATTCAAGCCTAACATTATGGAGAAATCCTACTTTTTCTAAATTTCTGAATTTTTTAGGAAAATTCTCCTGTGGCTTAACATCCGGTTATTATTTGTAGTACAGGTGGCATTAAGGCGGTGTGTGCAGTTATTCTTAACACAGTCAGCAGTCTTAAATCAATCAGGATGCTAGCCTCTTACGAACAGAATTCCTGAAAGAAAAATTAAAGGACATAACTGCCATATTATTAATGCTGTATTTTTTTAATTAAAATGTTGGTTGAATTGCAGCCAATTTATGTCAAATGGAAATTATACAAAATGTATTAGTTCCACAAAACAACGAGGAAACGCACGCATTGATTGTCTATCAAGTAGAAGTGCACAAAGATGATATTCTGACCAGGGACGATCAGGCTGCAATCTGCCCTCCAGTGGATGGACTTACACAAGGTCCCTTTACTGTTTTCTTCAAGATTGTTTAACCGTATTTTGTGGATCTTTGTTTGGGTTTTTTTTTTTTTTTGAAAATGTAAGAAGAGTGAGATAAATTTAGAAGTCGTGAGTTCTTTACTGGAACATCGTGTTGATAAAAACAGTGCTTTAAAATGCAGCTTTAAAAAAGAAAAAAGGAAAATGTAATCTGTCAAATATTATAGTTCTGGAGACTCCCCTGCTTTTTTGCTATTCACGCCTCCAGTTTTTGCAAACACGAAGGCACTACAAAACAAATTCACCTAAAGCATTTTGTTATTTCGTGTATTAATGAGCTCATAAATCCATAGTACAGCTATTACAGAATGCCAAACTTTTCATTTGAAGGCAACTCTAAGATTTTGTTAATAAGATCATTACTTTCAGAGCTTACAGATGTTCCACAAGAGATGATACATTCTCACTGGGTTACTGTGCTCGAGCTTCCCGTCTCATGGAGGTGTGGGTGCTGTCTGAAATATGTGACGTCATTGTAAAGTAAATCGCTTCACAGTGTGACTCACTGACTTTGCTGACTCCTCAGACATCCCCTTTTTGTCTCCCTCCTTCCTCCCTTGCTCCCCTTTGTGTTTAGGTGGCTTATTTTTCCCAATCTTTTCACGTCAACACCTGAATGGAAATACCTCAGAGCTCTGAATATGGATCAGTTTTGATTGCCACAGCATACATTCCAGGTTTTCTGTTATTTCTCTGTTTGGATTCCCCCTGCTGCTGTCTTCTACTGTTCCCTCCATAGGCTGAAATATGACCAGCAGCTAGGATATAGCTAGGATATAGATAGATATATAACTGCATTATTTTTTACTGATCTTGTCACATTTTTACAGTTGCTTTACACCAAAGCTGATGCCTCCTAAATTAATTTTACCTGCTTCTTCAATTTTCCAGCCAAGAGTCGTGATTAATACTTTGGCTGATATTGGGGATAAAGAGAATATCTGAGATTAGGAGGTATAAATGAGGATAAGAAGCAATATAATATAATATAAGCTCTTTTTTCTTGTCTATTTATTTGTTTATATTTTTTCCTCATCGTGCAGGTTAGGGCTGGGAGGCTTTTCAGGGAAATAAGTGCGTACAGGGTTTATTTCTTTTTTTTTAGAGTCAGACCTTGGACTGACAATAATACTGTCAACACCCACTAATGGAATAATAATAATAATAATAATAATAATGATAATGATGATAATAATAATAATAATAATAATAATAATAATAATAATAATAATAATAATAATAATAATAATTATTATTATTATTATTATTATTATTATTATTATTCATTCGAATGAATGTGAGTGCGAATGGTTGTCTGTCCCTGTGTGTTGGCCCTGCGACAGACTGGCGACCTGTCCAGGGTGTACCCTGCCTCTCGCCCTATGACAGCTGGGATAGGCTCCAGCGCCCCCCGCGACCCTGAAAAGGATAAGCGGAAGCGAATGGATGGATGGATGGATGGATGGATTATTATTATTATTATTATTATTATTACAATAATAATCTTAAAACTAGGGCATATAACCTACAGTTTTATAAAGAGACCAAATGCTGTCTCCGTCGGTCCTTTTAGCTGCAGGATTTCCATTTCTACTCTGCTCCATCACACTCAGTGAAGAGGAGCGTGCAGCTGAAGGTCCACGGATCAGTTTGAGCTCATGAAGACTATTTGAGTAGCCCTCTCTCCCCGAGGCAAGGTTGAGTCAGTCATAACAACCATCTTTAGTATGAAACTGGTGCATGTTGTTGCTTCATGCAGAAATAATAAAAGACCAATCTCATGGTTTATGCAGGGGATCTTAAATCACTTGTTTGGCATGCGCATATTTCACCTACAAATGCAGGTGCAGTGCAAGCACACACTTGTGGCTCAACACAGACACAGACACTAAAAAAGTGCAGGAAAGGAGCAATCGATGGGTAATTAGCAAGCAACTTTCCGGTATATACACCATGTGTATCCTACAAGGGTCTGATTGGGATTTTTTGTTAATTCGTGTGCATTTCCTCAGAAAACATAAATTTAATTTGTATTTAGAAAAGCTCTTGAGATAACTGAAGAAAACTTAAAGCAACACATTTGAATTGAATTGAATTTGATTTGAAATTAGCGCGTATTTGGGGCCTGAAACCCCCAAATGAAGCTTTGCATTTCGCATAAAGTGGGTTTTGTTGCTCTCATCAACAGCCACAAACTCATTAAAGTAACTGTGCTTATAAAGCATGATAGTGTTTACCTGACCACTCCGTACATGACAAGGACGTTGCCGAGAAGTCCCACCACGCAAATAACGGAGTAGAGCGCCGTGATGGATATGGCTATGATTATACCCCCGGCGCTCCTCACCGGATTCTGCTGCTCGGTGTAGTTCTGCAGCCTGTCGCTCATTAAGTCGCTCTCATCAGCCGGGAGGGTGACATTGAAGGGGATGACGGAGTAAAGGTCGGACAGGGAGAGCTGAGCTCCGGGGACCGTGTAAGGCTCCATGCTGCAGTGCTGCCCACTCTGTCCTCGGTGATGAAAACTTAACCGCGCAACAGTGAGAAGAAAGGCAAAGATTTAAACTGACACAGGAGGAAAAAAAAAAAACTAGTCAGACTGGAGGGAAGAAGTGGAAAAGGCGAGCAGGAGAGTTTCCAAAAAACGTGCAGATTAGAGCCTCTGAGTAAGAGTTTTCTATCCAAACGGACGAAGAGTAAGTGCCCCCCCGGAAGCGGGCAGCTGCATCTGTGCGCTCTAGCTGTGTGGACACCTCTTATACTCTCGGAGACCCCCACCTCACAGCCCGGCAGCTCTCTAATACCCGTGCGTCGACGTCAAACCTGCTCATTTATATGAAGTCACACTGGAATCAACGGGAATGCAAGGTTTGGGGTTTCCTTCTTTTAAACAGAAATAAAACTTTAAAGTTGCGCAGAAAAAGAAACAGATTCAATCAAATTCCACTTATCTCGAGTAAACTGGGAACAGGGCACGTTAATGATACTGAAACTGCCTTTTAACCGCACTTTCAGTAAAGCCATTATAGAAGACATAAACACACGCTAAAGTTAGCAAGGTTGATGTGTCCGCCTACAGGTATGGCGTTATTTTTGTGCCACTATTCTGAGCGCACGTAAAAAAAAAATTGGAGCGCACGTAAAAAATAAATAAATAAAATAACGCCATAAAAGCCAGAGTGGGAACTGTCCTTGTCCTGATGTTTGCTGCTCTGCTGAGGCAGTGGGAGGAATAAATTATGCCTTCGGAAACATGGTACAGATAAAAATTAGAGATCAACTTTCAAATTCCCTGCTTTTTACATTGTAAAATTATACTAAAATTAAAAAGAGGCATCCATCCATTCACTGGGCTAACCAAGTGACTCAAACCCAACATGAAGGTCCTGGGTTTGAATCCCTGCGCCTGTGTGAGTTCTCTTTGGCCAATCTGACTTCTACTTACAGTCCAGAGAGATGCGTGGGTTACATTAGTTGGTGATTCTAAATTGACTGCAGGTGTGAAAGGTTGCCTGCCTTCGTATTGGCCTTGTGATAGATGCGTGACCTGCCCCTGGTGTACCCTGCCTATTGCTCTGTGAGAGCTGTGATTGGCTCTCGCCCTCCCACAAGGTTTTTTTCTTAAACCTTGATTTATCCAGAACAACTCTTGAAATTGTCTGTAAGTACACTAGTTGTATTTATGCATACCAGTTTAAGACAATTTAAAATAGGCTTGAATTTACTATGCAGTTGATTATGGTGGTGGTTATAGGTTTACTTTGTCATACTGTTTTAAATGTAAATTTACTGGGTTTCCTACTATGCGTCTTCATTTATAACCTCTGTTTAGCTGACATTTTTTTGTCAGTTGAAATGACAGTATGAATGTACGCCCATCTGTCATAGCTTATTTCTTTCATGAAACACCAAAGTAAAGGGGGCCAAATGCCCCTCTGTCAGAGTTGGTTGCCTGTCCAGTCCTTATGCACTGGCGCTGACCCTAGTTTGGCCACTGCAGAGTGGATTTTCAGTCCAAATTCTTCCAGGTGGTGAGATACTTTATGCCAAGAAAAAGATTTGCCCCGTTCAGGAGAGAACTGGCAAGAAATTCAAACTAGAGTGTTCTCAATTACATGACATGTAATGTCTTAGATACTCTAACAATTATCCTCCTACAACTACTTCTCATATTTTCAGATTCTAAGAAATTAAAATGCATCCCTCTGACTGAATCATTTTAAACGGGAATAAGTAGTGACTTTAATATTTAGAAAAAACTGGAAAACTGGAACCAAATGCAGAACCAAGAGACACTCAGAGAAATGTTTACAGTCTTTTTTGATTTTGTTACTATGGAGCAAAGGTAAACACTGGGAATGTCAGGAGAAAGCCCTCTAGGTCCAGAAAAGGCAGGAAATACACACGACAAAGAGAAGAGTGTTTGAGCCAGTACAAAGAGCTTTTGGTGACAGAGATTAGTGTGGAGGTATGAACGCGCAGAGCTTACTTGCATTGCTATGAATGGTCCTCAGAGGGGTGAAGTGACAGCAGGGCTGCCTGTAACTCCTGACTTAGTGTTTCTGTCTGGCCGTTGGACTGAGGGTGGTATCATGAGCTGAAGCTTGCCTTGGTCTCCCAAAGCCATACAGAAAGTTTTCCAAACTTGTAAGACCACAATTGGACACAATATCTACAGCTGGAATGTCAGACTCATCTTACATTATGGGGCGATCGTGGCTCAAGAGTTGGGAGTTCGCCTTGTAATCGGACGGTTGCCGGTTCGAGCCCCGGCTTGGACAGTCTCGGTCGTTGTGTCCTTGGGCAAGACACTTCACCCGTTGCCTACTGGTGGTGGTCAGAGGGCCCGGTGGCGCCAGTGTCCGGCAGCCTCGCCTCTGTCAGTGCGCCCCAGGGTGGCTGTGGCTACAATGTAGCTTGCCATCACCAGTGTGTGAATGTGTGTGTGAATGGGTGGATGACTGGATATGTAAAGCGCTTTGGGGTCCTTAGGGACTAGTAAAGCGCTATATAAATACAGGCCATTTACCACAGGCCACAAATCATTTAGCCTCTTTTCCACTAGTACCTGCTTAACTTGGCTCAGCTTTTTAGGGTTTCCATAGAGATGGAATTTGGATACCGATCCATATTACTGTATCGGTTCGGTCCGATACTGACCTAAATTACTGGATCGGATATCGGAGAGAAATAAAAAATGTAATCCGATCCAAAGTATCACAAAATCACCTCACAAAACGCGCTACTTGGCGTAACCCAGCTCGGCGCATCGGAGCAGTATGTGTCACGTGATAGAGCGGCTGTTGTCTGCGAGACCTGTCGGCGGTCTGTTGGAGCATTTGGAGCCTCGCTACATGCTTCCTAACCGCGGCATTTCATCTCGGCGAAAACTATCCCAGAGAAGTAAAGCAAGTGTGTAAGTTCATCCCTGAATGTTTGCATAGTATTTCCACGTTAAGCTTAACAACTGATATATTGAGCCACAGCTGGACTGGCCATCGGAGTTCCATATTGAGGTGAAAAGGAAGCGATTTGTCCCGTACTTCAGCTAGAATTAAAAAATAGACACAAAGCTGGAGTTATTCTGTCTTTGCTGCGCAGTTGCATCTACTTCTCTCATTCACTCCCCCTTCCTCTCCTGTTATTACTTCAAACATGAAACTGATCAATGATCAGCTGATCGGCTTTTCTGCCGCAAGTCCCGTCTTTCTTGTTTGTTTATCGCCCACTTTGCGCTAGAAAGAGGAGACCAGCGGATAAACAACAGCAGCACGTTTAAGCTTGATCAGCTGTTGTTAGAATTTATTTAATATTACTTTCTAGTATCAGCTGATGTTTGCTGGAGCCACAGCTGTAAAGCTGCTGGTCATGATGCGGTTTGGATATGTGGTGAGAGGGAAACATGAAGATGAAACCAGGAGATGTCCTTACTGAATCATCAGAGCTGAACAGGTGATGGAGAAACAGGTTTACCTTTTAGGTGACATGAATGAGTTGAAGGGAAGTTATGAACTGTTTCTGAGAGACAAATAACACCAGGATCCTTTTCTATGTAGCTGACAGCTGGTAACTGTGCAGGGGCGGGTCTAGCAAAGTTTTGTCAGGGGCCAGGTAGGGCATTAACAGGGAGAGGGGGGCACAAAGAAATATTTTTCTTTGTTATGCCATTTAAAAACTTTGAATAAATAATTATCTGAATCTTACAACAAAAGTGGTCATCTGATTAAATGTATAGAAATCCATAGTACCTTTTTCCTTTGGGAAGGTACCATCTGTGCAGTCTGCAATTCTGTTGAAGAAAGATGTTGAATCTATTTAATTAGTGTAGAAAAATAATTGATTTCTGTGCATTTGTTTTACATTTGCATGGTTCCCTAATATTTTTGCTGGGAGTTGGCAACCCTATTAGTTAGGTAGGTAAGTACACGGCTGGCCTGGGAACGCCTCGGTGTTCCCCTGGATAAGCTGGAGGGGGTGGCTGGAGAGAGGGAGGTCTGGGCCTCATTGCTTAGGCTGCTGCACCCGCGACCCGGTCTCGGATAAAGCGGATGAAGATGGATGGATGGATGGATGGATGGACAGTGTTATATGTTTAAAAGTATGTGTCTGTGAGCGAGGGAGGGAGAAAAAGGAAAAGTACGAGCTGTCATCGAGCAAAAACGGGATCTGGAAGCATGTAAATATAATAATAACCACTGCAGCCAAAAAGAGTGCCTGACGAGCCCAGTTGTAAGTAAGCTATTAAGACTCGACTGTACACCGTGTTCATGTTTTCCTCCAAAAACAACAAGTTCCGTTGGAGCAGCCTTTCAACGCCTCTCTCTGTCTCTCGCAAGCAAAGTTGACCCACACAACAAAGTAAAGCTGTTTTTTGGCTACGAGCCCGACACAGAACCCGACGTATTAGCCAGAGGTCCCTTTACTACGGTTCGGAGCTGCGGACCTTCAGTAACAGTAATAAATCACACAGCAATAGTACATTCACGTAGTTGTAAACAGCATGATAATATATTAAGTAATCCAAAGCATTCAGAATATGTTACTCTCATTGAGTAACGTAACGGAATACGTTACAGAATACATTTTGGGGCATGTATTCTGTAATCTGTAATGAATACATTTTAAAACTAACCTTCCCAACACTGATTATATGGCGCATAAAAGTGAGTAGAACTCCCAATACAACTGTGCAACAGCCAACATGTGCAGTGGGACATATTGATCATTTTTGATGTTCATTAAAAAAACCCATGATGGATGCACAGGAGTGTAGTTATTGATTCAAAAATAAATGACTGTTGGATTGTATTAAATGGATCTAGGATTCAAGCAGAACTAAAAATGCCATTTAACTTGGAATTAAAAGCTTCCCTGTTGAGTACTCATGTTCCACTTACATTCAGCATTACCCACCAAAAACACTGTGTTTATTGACCTTTTGTCAAACCAAGATCGATGTATCCTGGAGAGATAGTCTGAAAATGTGCAATTATCTCCGCTGTTAAACTATATTGTCTATCGCCCTCCTTCAGTCTTGATGAATGCTGGCATAAACCCATTAGATCTGATTGAGCTATGTTTCATCATGCTAACATGCAAAGGTAGAATACAATACTGTAGGTATATGTACAAGTCTGTTTACATCTTTATTCATGTATCTGGCAGTAAGTGAGCTGGTAAATTGAATAACAAATCCAAATGATCTACATCATGCAATTATAGTTGTGTTATTGATGTCTCCAGGCAAGAAGTTAAGAT